TTAGCCGTTTTGAGATTTCCCTGGCGTGTTTTTCAAAAATCGTAATTCTTAAACCACGATTTGGTACCATATCGACTTTTTCTAATTCCAGCAAATGTGGGATGTTTATGCTTACAAATCCTAGTGAATATGTGGAAAAAACTAACTTTGTAGTTCATCGCCACATGTATTATTGAAAATATATGTAAGTTTATGTTTTGGAAGCAATGCGGGATCCGCATTCACATCATCCACAGCAACTTGCAGTGCACCAGAGATCATCGAACCTGCAAAATGCCGTGTAGATTTCAAAAAAAAATTAATGATGAGTATAAAAAATATGCATTTTTATAAATTTTTACAAAAAAAAAAAAAAAGAAATTTATAAATCAAGAAATGCTTCCCGAACTGCGAATATGATTTAGAGGCAATGGAAATTAGTGCAATAATTCTACATTGTGTTTTTTTAGACCAAAAATATAGCGTAAATTACAAGTTTACCTTCAAAATCGGTTCGAAAACATTTCGACAAATGGCCATAATTTTTGTCACCTTCTGCTGTTTCAACATTGCTTACCTTAAAAAAAAAACATAAATATATGATGAAACCGTTTGTCTGAATAAAAATATGCGAAGATTTTCGCGGCTTACAGGTTATCACTGTGAGAAAGTAAAATCCGATGGGCAAGATATGTTGCTCGCCTTGCTGACAACCGATGGGTGTTGTATATTAGTAACTGGTACCCGCCAAAAAGAAAACTCGGGGAATCTCCAAAGAAGTGGCAGCAAACACCAAACAAGGATGAGTACTAACTGGAGGTATACAGTCTCGGATCGAAGGATCTGGCACAGCTGCACCCGGCATTTAAGAGAATCTCAGTGACATCACTAACATGGGATACCCACAATGACTGTTCATGTAGCCTTGATATTCTCTTACTGCATGATGCAGCCGTATTTTTGGCAAAAATCGAAAAAGGTCAGTTTTTTACAATGTAGGTGCATAAGTTTTACTGCTACTGCAGATAGTGGCCCGAAATTAATGCAATTAGCACCCTCTTTAACTGCTCCTAGTCATTCCGGATTACCAATACGGAGTTCTCATTATTGGCTGAAATCAGTAGTATTAGTAGTTAAGACCTTTTTACATGTAAAAAGGCCAATAGGAAGGCC